TGTTGGAATATTTGATAAATTTTTGAATGTGTCAGACGAATTAATTTAACACGTTGCACGAAAGTTCTATCTGTTGGATCATAGCGTAATTAGGAAGCAGGGAACGTTATTTATTGCAACGAGGAGCATATATATTCACATCAAATGGAACCGCCTACTTTAAGAGTCTTGGCATTGAATATTCTTAGGATACACATGGCAGCTTATCATTATATATAATCATCGCGTAATGATTGATCGTTTCCACCGCGATCAGAAATTCTCACTACGTATGTATTCCGGATTTACATCGTGTAACTGTTTGAGCGAATGTGTAAAAGAAATTTCTCAGCGAGCCAACGGTTGCGACTACTTTTGTTCGGCTCATCGAATGCTAACCGTTTTTTTTTGTTTAACAAAAAGATCCTTTAAATTAAACTTTCGACGAAAAGGTGATGTCTCATCGACAGATTATGAGGATTGCGCACGCGCGCGTACACACATAATTCTTTGAAGTGCCGCGTTGCGTTCCTAATCTCGATACGGAATTCCGTTTGACGAACCGGTCGCGATGAGAGGCATACTTTCGTATCTCATACTTTGCACAGAGTTAAAGAGCCGGTGAAAAGATTAGGAACGCCATCTAACCAATTGACAATTATAATACTGCAACCATTGCTTGAACGAGCCTATCGGCGTTTGTATATGATTCTATTTGGGATCTGAAGACTACCAGCATCCGGTACAGCTCTACCTCTTACCGTCGTGTAGAGCCCCACGTTAACGGCGCGCTGCAGAAGTAGTTTACCGCGCGGCAATTGGCAGAGAGAAATTAGAACTTTATTTTAATTACAATCATTGCACAAAGTTTTTACATTAGAGTAAAAATATGCAATCAGAAAATTTTAATGCAGCTTAAATTATTCTAATTATTACAAAAAATCAGCCGTTTAATTAAGAAAATATCGACAAGAGATAACAGATCCTTTGATTCGTACCAATCATAACACGATAACATCACATCAATCATCACATTAGTCTGCGACAATTACACACGCTATTAAAATAAATTGATAAGAAGTTGACAAATCTACCGTAAATTGATAAATCTGTATGTATATTATGTAAATTAAGAATGATTTTAACACTCTATTAATTTCGTTTTTCAGTTTCCTAAAAATTTCCATTTTTATTGCCACCATCTATCAAGTTATTTTATTGCACGCCTTAAGAACGTCAAGTAAGAATGATCACCGCTCTCTCGTCTAGTCTGAAAATTTTTGCCGCGAAGAAGCAGCACGTAACGGGCATTATAAACTGGCGCAATACGCTCTGCCATTGTTTCTGCAACATATATCTGGCAAATCGTGAGATGGGAACAAACGTTTGCGCTTATAGTCCCGTGGGAGAGAGAGAGCAACATGTCTGCTGCTTGTCGAGAAACTTGGTCGAAAGAATCCAACTAATACTTTCAGCACCGTAATTACAGTCGACACGATTCATACAGCGGTTTCGACGTCCCAAGGGAAAGTTTGCCCTGGTGCGGTGAGGCGAGGATAAGAAGCAAGCCCTTGAACAAACGAGACGACTTCGCAACCTCCGAGAGGTCAAAGAGTACATCTGCTCTCTTTCTCTCTCTCTCTCTCTCTCTCTCTCTCTCTCTCTCTTTCTCTCTCGACGAGAGAGGTCGTACAAAGGAATAGAAAGAAGGAAAAACCACAACAATAGTCCTGCGTCGATCTCTTCACCCACCCGGTACTTCTCTAAGAGGGCAGGTCGAGGATCTTCACATGAACTCTCTTTCAACAATCAGGAAGTCATCAAAAGTTCGTTGGAGGTGAAACCTGCGCGAAGAAGTGGACAGAGAAACCTAACAAAAAGAGAGTGAACCTTTAATCACGTCTTAATCAGAATAGATACGGTTCTAAGATTTCGCAAAAAAAAAAAAGATCAAACGAAAACTTGCTCGAAAACTTACAATGGAAATAATTAATTCTTGTAATCTAAAGTGGGAGAGAAGCTAGCAAGCGGAGACAGTTCGCAAAACTCTCCTTATGCATAATCTCCTGCACGAATTTGTATCTCTATCCCAGCTCTCGCGTGGCTAATTTCGGAAATCCCAGAGCAGTTCACGCGTGATGTCAGCTTGCGAATTAGACGCGAGCCTGGACTTCGTATCAGGTTGGTGCGATGCTCTTGATTAAATATGGGACGATGCGCCAGTCTCATGGGAGGAAGCTACAGATCTTTCAGACGAGAGAGAGATCGAGAGAGAAAGGGGGAGGGGGGGGGTAGGAGGGAGGGAGGGGAAGAAGGTTGGCGGAAGGTCGACAGTGCGAAACCTCTGGTTTATTTCGAATCGATCGCCAGGCATGCTCGAGGGTGCTCGGGCTAATTCGGCTCGCATCGGCGATTCAAAACTGTTCGATTCGCGAAGTAACCACATCGCCCATATCGTGCGATAAACACCGCGAGAGGCATCTTTTTCATCCCTTCTTTCACTCTCCCTTTCCGCAAGATCGACCCTTCCGCGTATAAACGCGGTCAGAGATGCGCGAGGGTGGCGTTGCGTCCAACCAAGAAATTTGGATCCCTCGATCAATACTGCGTTCGCTTTGCGTCAGCATCGCCAGACGTATATAAAAATATTTAATATTCCAATTTTTCAGTATCTACATATATGTAAATTTCAAAATTAATATATTCTTATTTCCCCTTCTCTATCTCTCTTTTTCTCTCTGCATTTTCTTTATAACTTTTTTATCCTTAAAATGCATTTTTCAAAAGGATAGCAAATTCTTCTTTATAAAGTTCTCTTCCTTCTTACTATTTAAAAATTCTACCTCATCTCGGCAATTATGCTAAGAAAACGCTCGTGGATGACAAGTGCCCGTACCACCGGTAGGAAATAAAAGAGTTAAAGCATCTTTAACAATCTCCATCTCCGGAATAAGGTTCATTATGCGAAGCAAAAGACTCTCCGGACAAGTTCATCGCGCAACCAAAATAGTTGGAACCGACCATTCCGTTCCGTTCTTGCGGAACTCGGGAACGTTTAAAAAAGATTACATCACGAAGAGAATATCCTAAGAGGATCTAATCAAAATGGGTAATATTTAATTCCTGTCAACCTCTCTCGTACAAATCTCAGGCACCTTCGCGTTCAACGAATTCCGAACGAGGAAGATTTACATCGGTCTCGCCAAGAATTCCTCCTTATTGAGTACAAACTGTCAGGGGAGCAAGCGAAAAGAATTTTATTACTCTGAATTTTATTGAAACTAACTTTTCATCGACTTTATCCTAACACCTTATACCATTGAATTCAATGGTACACAATTTTATTATTCAAACTTTCGTGCGATTAAATACTACTATTAAATTTTCTTAAATTTTGTAGCATTTAATATAAGAGAACTCCCAGACAGTAGAGAAAAGATATTGTAAAATCAATGACGTTCTAGAATTAATGCTAATATCGACAAAAGAACTGAAAGCTCTTCGGTACATTAGAGCAAATCAATACATTTCCACTGAATTTCCAATTGAATAAGCGTAGAATAATTCTTAACATTTATCGGGCAACAATTTCGTGCGATTTTCTCAATCAATTCACCTCGTTCTATATAATGTTCCTCACCTCGTTCTGTATAATGTTTCTCACCACGGAGAGCCTGGTATGCGAGTCAGCATCCCGAATCCATATTTCGAGATTGTATTCCGTAACAACGACGCTTCTCCCGATTGCTACTGAAATTGCTGGAAGTCACGCCGATCGACGGAAAGATCTGGTTCACGATAGCGACGCGAAATCGAAATCGTAAAAATAAAGGGATCGCAGGTTACGAATATGATCGTATCCGCCGAATTTAATCTCATAACTCAACCCGTCTAAATGTTAATACATATTAAGAAATCTTGTATAATACATTTGTATAATACATATTAAGAAATAGCAAAACGCGGAAAAGTACGGGCGGATATAAACATATTCGGACGGTTTTCCGATTCGTCCGTGTGAAGAACGTAAGGAAAAATATACGAAGTGAGTCAATGCATTTGCGCGAGTAATATAAACGAGAAGAGTGACGCGAGTAATATAAACAATATAAGACACATCAAATGTATTTACACGAGACTTTGATAGGCAGGTATTGATTCTAGCCGTAATATCAAATGCGGAATATCGAGAAGACGTAGAATAATCAGGGATGCAACGGTACGGATAATGCTCCATATATATAAGGATTATCATATACCCCTCTATCGTAGAATAAATACAATAACGCGTTTGTCCGGTGTGGATGTTCGCGCGAATTGTTCGCGCGTACGCAGCCTGATAAGCGCGGCTTATAAAATATTTTATTTACGGACGATGCTCTCCTTTCTGCGAGAGTTTTTCCGCGGCATGTCGCCTATTGCGAAGTATTCACCGTGCAACATCCATAATCCAAAATCGATGCACCGCTGTTTCAATGCGAGTTTAACGCCCCGTGACCGTGGGTGTTACGACGGCATCGGACAACGTAATCCTCGTGATTTCGAATTGAGAGGGATCGTCAATTTGGTACGTTCTCGCTCATATATATTCCGAGCGGCATCCAAGGCCGATCTGCCTTTGATTTTCTGTCTCTTTAGAGCACGTAATCTTATTGCGCTATCGACAAAGATAAAGGGGGTGGAAGATAAAAAGGAAGGAAAAAGAGGAGAAGAGAAGAAACGAGGAAGAAGAGAAAAAAAGGAAGAAAAGAGCGATTGCGCCAATCTTATCGACGCGAGGAGGGAACGAGTCCATTCAAGAGAAGAGCGAGAGAGATTCCGCGCTCTCTTCTCTCGGTGGTGGTGATGCTGTTGGTCCGACAGGTAGTCCCGGTGGTCCATCCGTGTCCTTCGGCGCGCTGGTGGCGCGACCCCGAGTGTATCGAATCGAGAATCTTCGCAGATTTTCGGAGAGCTTCGTTCACCCACGAACAGGCTCCCGCGGGTTCTCCCGGGCTCTCGGCATCCACCGCTCCAGTACACTGCGTGGCAGCCTGGACCGCGGGGTGGCCTACAACCACCACCGGCGGCGCATGGAACGCGTCGACGCGCGGTGCTTGCGTGCCTTCGAGAACGCACACGAAAACCGCGCGTTCGTATCGTCCATCCGAACGTGCGCCCCTTCTGCGCATTTTGGAACGCACACACAGCATCTGCAGCATCAGCGCGCGCGCGGCACATGGTCCTCTCGTGTCCTCCCGAGCAGCATCCCCGATCACGTACGAGGTCATCTCTTCGCTCGGGGTGATCCGATCAGTAGCACGAGCGTGGCACGAGCGCGGCACGCAACAGCGCAGTCGACAAGTGTGGGGTAGTAGGTGGTTGTCATGATCGGCCTCGAGGTCTACGTACACCACGTCGTCATTAGCTGACTGAAGACTACTCCAAGATCGAGAGCATGACGTGGTCCGGAAGCGGCAACGGCACTAGAGAGGACTGGACGTCAAGACGGCCGGCACGTGTGACGTCCTCGACGAAGTCGTAGCAGAATGTGTTAACGATATCGGGGAACGCTACCGATCGACGTGATCGGAATTATCGAACGACCGACCGGGGGAGAGAGAGAGAGAGGCACTGAGACGAGGTCGACCGCGAGGAATTGCGCCTTCCAAAGTGGGTCGAACCTGCGACACGCTTACTCTCACTGCGGAGAGGAGAGCCGTACCATTTCGCCGTGGACGACAGAGATACGCGGGAGATTTGCGGCGAACCGGAGGCATAGATGCGCGCGCGCGCGCGCGCGTGTCGCACGCGTGCACAAGTACCTACATGCCATCGTGTCTACAATGCATAGCGCCAGACCACTACGGTGCGACGCGGTTCTTTACTCTCGATAGCTAAAAGCGAGTAATATACGGTATTTGTGGCAAAAAGCGGACTTTGAGACTGCGGAAAAGGGAAAGAGTGCCAAAAAGAAGGAGCGACGAGGAAGAGAAACGATAGAAAGAGGAAAGACGGGGAGAGAAATTGTTTGTAAGAGAAGGGAAGTGGAAAGGAGAGAGAGAGAGAGAGAGAGAGAGAGAGAGAGAGAGAGAGAGAGAAAGAGAGAGGAGCTAGAGAGAGTAATGATCGTGACGACGGTCGTGCGGACAAATGAACACCTCGGCACAGCGTTTGGGATATTCCAAGTAAGTAGCAATGCGCAACGCCGTGTTGCATTATACTGCGGAAACGCTCGCTTTTGATATATACGCGTAGTTTTAAGTACACGTATTATTTCGGAGAACGAAATTAGTTTCTCCGTACGCAAACAAGATGCCGTGGAATAAAGAAAAATAAGGGCTACGTGAGGCGTTAAGGACTCGAGAGGCCTCGACCTCGACGAATCTTTTCAACCGAATCAAAAATAGAGAAATCGATATGTCTCGTCTATCTAGCATACCAAACACGGAATCGAGGAAAGTTTCGGTAGGGGGAAAACTTTCGAGGGGAGAAATTTTTCCGAACGAGATTTTTAACTGAACCCGTCACCCGCGACTACTTGTGATGCACGTTTCTTTCTTCTTTTTCCCTTTTTCTTCTTCCCCATCCCGTCTCTCCTTCTTCCTTTTTTTTTGCACTATCGCTTCACGCTCGGGGAAATTTTATCGCTGGTCATTTTTCAAGCCTGGACCATCGATGGGGGGATCATGGAGGCTGGTAATGGATGCATGCGTATCGCCTAAGCCAGCGCATTTGGTGCGAAATCCAATACGCGGTTGGCATCGAATCGACCGATCGCGCGGCAGCGCGGTATACATCGCGGGATCGTGCTTAACGATAGCTTTCACGCCAAAACTCCCGGAAAAAGTTTAACCGACCGTGATAGAAAAGCAAAACGGGAAAAAAAAATACAAAAACCCCAGGCCGGCGTATATTACCGGCCGGTATATTAATGGCCGAGCAACCGAATCCGATTTAATTTATTCAATAAGTTTTAAACGCATTTTAATTGCTCAACGTGCAACTGTTTTAAAAACATTTAATTGCTCAATGCGCACCAATTGTTCCGTATATAATTCGGAAACAAGTTTTTCTATTTCACTTTGAAATTGCGTTTGGCGGCGACGTTGGCAGCGCGCTGTCGATATACTTGAAGAGTATGACCTCGAGATTCGCCCGACCCCATTTTTCAGGATTTCCCAAAGCGCGACCACTTCCCCGTTATATGAAAAATACAAGGCATCCACTTTTAAGTCTTTTAATTTTAACGGTACATTAGCGAAGCATTTTTTTTACCGTTTTTTTTCCCATCTCTTCATAATTCCAGCGAAATCTCGTAATATACTCTTGATTTCTCATTTTTCGCTCGTTTAAATATCCTCATTTAAGCTGAATCAGAGTTCCGAGATCGCATTCTTCTATCCCTGATGCCCGTTAATTAAAGCCGGATGGAACCATCTCCCCGGAAGATCGCGGGGGAGGGCCGATCAATCTTCACAGATCGTACTGCCGCGCGCAATACGGTGAGATGGATTACATCCGACTCAAAATTTGTAGAACTTCTTCGAGTCGGGTCGTATACCACGTCGATGTATAACATTAGCATTTATATGGGCGCGCCGGGCAAGATTCCACGCGCGCGAGTGCCTCGGAAGCGAAATCCGAACGGAGCGGAGATCCGACGGAAGAGAGAGAGAGAGAGAGAGAGGTGTCGGAAGCAGAAGCGAACGAACGGGGTAAACGTGGCGAAGGCAAATTCCACGCAGCCGAGGAGGCAGAGACGAGTCAACATATTTTTCAGCGTCATCCCGGAATCAACGTCCGCGTCGTCGGCGTCGTCGTGACGGCGACGACACGAGGCATATCGAGCTTGAAACTCGAATCTGAGAGGAGCAATACCGACAATTTTCGAAGCACGTACTCCAGAAGGTTGCATGAAAATTTGATTCCGTGCCCGGTATATCATCGACTTATCATCGCTGAGATACGCGGCGAATAACAAAAATTCCCCGCACGCAAAATCCTGCCGCGGAAATGTTTCTATATATGAGTTCCGGCGAAACGAAGGGGAGAGACGCAGCGGGGTTGTAATTTTACCAAAGATACATCGTCCACGGAAGGGAGGCGATATACAGCATTTATATTAGCATTTATATAAGGGTAGAGTAACTACGCTCTTTTCCACGGGCCTCTACGTGCTTCGGAGCAAAAAAAAAAAGAACAAGGGAAAAATCCACGCCGTAAGATAAGTGCTCCGCCGACCTGCGGCTTGCGCGCGATCCCCCGTGTGCCGAAGCGCGCGTTTCGCAGACTCGGAAAATTAAACAAACCAGAGTCACGCAGTTACATATTCCTATATAACGCCTGGCGAGAGACGCATAAAGTTGGAAACAATTTTACATATAAGACGCCGGGTTTACAAATGCGAAATTAGGAATATTTATTCAAGTAACGGTGGAGGCAATAACTCCATGGATCCCACCAACTTCGGTCGGCGAGTGGAAACAAAGGTTAGTCGTGAATAGAGACGAGCCAGGAGCGGGGAGAGAGGGTAGGAGAGACGACGGGAGGTGTGAGGAGAACGAATGAGCTACAGGGGATGTAAAGGGTCGGGAGCGCGAGTTACAAATAGCAGAGTGCACAATTAAGTGGCCGCCAGACCGCGCGGGCCCAGCGAGGTTCCCTCTCGAAAAGAGATCGGGGCTAATTATCAGTTTCCAAAAAGCGTTCTCCTTAAAATTACAGCCGCATCCGATTGCCCCTTTAAGTTATCCTCGGAGATAGTAGGTCGGGGTGCAGCACGGCTGCTGGGCTGACTAGTTCGGTTGCACAGTGAACAAGAGAACGGAACGAGCGCGAGCGTATACGTGAGTGTGCTTTAGGCGCGATAAGTTGCATCCTGTACGGCGCATTATATTCCTGTGTGCACACACAGACGCGGTTAGCTCTGTTTCATCCACCCTCGCGTGTAAGTGGGTAACGAGATCCAGACACGAGTTGTAGAAAGGGTGGAGGAGAGAGGGAGGGGAGGAGAAGGAAGAGGTTCACACACCGCGCCGCGAGGCGTACGGTGTTACTTTATTGCTCGCGTCAAAGGCAATCTGCCCTCTCATACCCTCCTTCCTACGCTCAACCCCGTTTTCCTAACGCGGTACTTTGACGATCGCGAACACGTCACGCGGGCGTTTGTAGCGTGTATAGCACCACAAATGCACTTTTGCGGTTTCGCGTCGATAGCGGAATTGCTGACACGCTCGTAAAGCGTCGGTTTCCACATGGAGACGCTTCTCCGCGGCGCAGAGAGCGCGCACTCTTTTCCATTCGATCAGACGCGGGTCAAACGACGTCACGGTTCCGGAAAACAACATCGCTGATCTGGCCAATGTTGTAGCATTCATAAAAAGCTCATAAGGAAATAAAAAGTTTCGGACGTTTTGTTGCCGAGGGGTAAGCGGAGGGGTAAGCGACGGGATTTCCAGCGCATATTTCATCTCCAGAAAGCATATTTTATCGGGCACGACCGTAAGTTATTCGAAAGTTCGTCCAGCAAGTTTATCCTTAGAGAAATAAATCGCAAAAGACAAATCCGTATTCCCTCTCTCTGTCTATCTTTCTCTCCTTCTCTCTCTTTTCTTTCTGTCTCTTTTGGTGCGTGTAAACGAAGTTCTCGACAATTACAAAAGTCGCAAAAGAAGGAAGATGCGCGCAGGGAAAAAAATTACATCGCGCGGTTGACAAACATCCAAAAACTTGAAAAAGCAATCTGTACTTTGCCTCCTTGGATTCTATATAAATACAGGTGCGAGGAACACGCAGAAGAAGGGCGGGACTCCATTTCCGCAATCAGTTAAAAGCGTCGTTCTCGAGATGATATCAGCGCCTTCCTCCTATGGTCTCTTCTCCTGGATCCTCGGATTCCCTCTTCCCCGAGATCTACTACCGTGCTCGAATTATCGGCTCGGAGCTCGTCCCTTTTCTTTCCCATTTCCCCCGACAGAATTATCGAGGTGAGAGAGAAAGAGAGAGAGAGAGAGAGAGAGAAAGATAGAGAGAGGCAGGGAGACCCTCCGAAACAACCACTATCGCGCATTTACCCTCTCTCTTCTTGCCGCCTCCGTTTAATTTACTTCATCGACTTCCGGCCAGCGGCGGCGCAGCCGATCTCCCCGGCCGGCTATCAGTCCTCTAAATCAAATAACATAATTTCGCTAAGGCCACCGCCGGTAAGAGGACCGATCCCTTTTCCACGGGCCTTGCGAAATCCCGCGGCCGAATTTATGGGGACTCCGTGGCCACGACGTTCGCTGTTCACGTCTACACGCGTCTTACACGTGTGCCAGAGAAGTTACCTACACGCGCGCGCCTACATGAAATAAAGTAACACCCTTGGCACCACACTGCACACCACTGGCTCGGGATGGCTGTACTGCGACCTGCGACTTGTAGTCGCGATAAATTTTCCTCGGCTTTAATGGTGCTACGCGCTGCCGCAGAACGGTATTTTCAATCCTTTGTATATAAGTAACAGAAACGTGAACAAAAAAAAAGAGAATGCCAGATAATTTAACGATGACGTAAGTTAAACGACGAGCGATGAAGGATTTTGGCCGGTAGAAATGAGGAGAGTCGCGCGTACAACAAAATATTATGGGAAACTTAGCTCATTTATTTACAGCTTCCATTACAGCGGTAACAAAAGCCTTTTAAAGCGAGCTAGTAACTCATAATTAAATTACGTAATGGATCGCCACAACCAGCTCTGCTGTATAAAACAATATCTTCAATCTTCTATAAACAATGAAAAATTTAATATTGAAAGTGATATAAATCCAACGCGCGTTTTAGCGAGGGAAAAAATTTTTGATTTTATACATCATTATTGATATTAAAAACCTTATTTCTTTGCTCATTGTTGTTACGCGTGATGCATGATTCGTGACCGGCTGTAAAAATTCATATGTTGTCCGTAAAAATAAATGGAATATTCCCGGAACTTTCGGAAAATGCTCGTGGCAGCGAAAGCGAAGTTGCAACAGAAATCGTAATTAAATTTCGAAATAGATTGCGCATTCCACCGGGACAGAATGACATTTCCAATCTTTTATGAGGGAAAGACAATCCGAAATGCGAGAATGACAGCGATTCAGTATTTAGTATTGAATAAATGATTTTAACTCAACGAAATAATGATGTGATTGATACATTA